CGCCGGCTCCTGCCCTGCCTGCCCAGCCTGGGCAGACGCTGCTCCAGGCACACGGGGCCAAACCTGAGCATCCCCTCCTGGTCCCTGTGACGTTGGCCGGGGCCATGGCGACCGGCACTCACAACTCCTAGCAGAAGCGTGGTAGAAGGTGCTCAGAAAGCACAGAGCAGCTGCTGTTTGCTGCTGGGCACCGGGGGTTTGCTGCGGTGACCCTTGGCAGCAGCCTTCGGGCTGGCAGGCAGCTCCTGGTCCCCAGGGACTGTCACCATGCCCTCGGGCCAGCGCTGGCCCCTGCCTAGCCCCATTTCGGGTTGGTCAGGGCCTCCATGGAAACACGGTTGGGTGAAAGGCAGCCCCAGGCGAGCGCTCGGGGCTCACTCGGCTCCTCCGACACGCCTGTGGGCTTCCTGCTCCTCGTCTTCTCACCCACTCGCTCACAGCAAAGTGCCGCTTGTGCCGAGAACCTCACGCTTTTCCAGGATGGAGAAGGAGACGGGAGAGCAGAGGGGTCTCCTCAAACGTTTCCTGGGAGATCAGGCTGTAGAAAGTAGTTCCGTAGCTTGAGCTGATGGAGAAAATTAAATTTCTTTCCTTGTATCATTCAGCGTTCGTGAGAAATTGCACGTAAAGCAAACAGTATCCCCCATTTTCTGGCCAGCTTTGCTTTCAGCCCCGCGCTTCAGCTGCATGTCATTTTTGCTCTCCTCTCCTGCATTTCGTAACACTGCCAGTGTTTATTCTCTTACTCATTTGTACTTCTTTCTCATTTGAAACGATCAATTGTTGGTATAAACTCACCTAGGGAGCAATTACTGTAAGCCTAACCCAAACAGGCGCTGGGGGTGCTCCGCTCAGCAGCACAACCCGCCGCCCTCCCCGCGCTGCTGCTCCCAGAGGATACGGTATTTACTTTTCAGCTCTCTGCTTTTCGTACCGAGCGCACTCCGGTCAGCGTGCCAAGAATAACACAAACCATAACAACGGGCTTAAGCGCTAAGATGGAGTTCCTGACTTTGCAAAACAAAACAAAACAAAAAAAAGCCAACCTATTATTTTGCCTTTGCTAAGGAATGCCTGGCCGCAGCAGAGCGAGCGGGCACCCGAACCACCCCTCTGCCCTCAGCACACCCGTGGGTAGGGTGAAATCTGCCCCGAGGGGACGCAGAAAGAGAGAAAAAAGGAGCAGGTTGGCGACTGCCGGCTTTTCTTTTTAATGCAGATTTTTATCAGGTTGCTGCGTTGTTGCGTGAGCTTTTCCTCAAACACTTTGCAAAGCCATGGAGGGACACGTTCCCTAGCACCTCACCTGGGAATGTTTCAGCCAGGGTTTTAGTAGCACTGTCTCTGACCGTCGTGAGCCTCCGTGGCTTTAATTACTGATTGCTAAGAAATTGCTGCCCGGTCCTGTTAGTCTTTTCAGTGCCGTCAGGGTTCGGTGTGTGCAGTTCTCCTCTGGAAATTGTTTATTCGCTAACCAGCTGCTCATGGGGGAAGCACTTGGAGCAAATTACCTCGCCGAGAGGTTTCACGGGAGTTAGCTGTATTGTGCCTGAAGTCACAACGTTAACTGAGGCAATTTGCCTGTCGGAAGAAAAAGCTGAAACAAAGCAGAGCCTGGAGCTGCCAGAACGGGCTGCGGGTC